TATTTAATTTTAATTTTACAAAGTAAGTAATCATTGGTGCCACGTTTTAACAATCAGTCTCTGTAACACTATAATCAAAGAAAGTACTGTCAACAAATAATTTAGCTTTGGAAAGTTAAGCTTGCAGCTACCCCCAAGCAAAGTTTCAGATACTAATCCATACTTATGGAGTTTAACACCAGGATTACAATCACAGGGTTATCAGAACATTCAAGCATCAGCCAAATAAAGACTTTATATTCTCCACTCTTCATCTGCATGGGGTGGGTGGGGGATGGGAAGTCCAAAGAGAAGTAACATGTTCAGAATGAGATAAGCATCAGAGCAATCTATTTCTTACCTCTTCACCAAGTCCTTTATCTGACAATCAGTAAAATCATGTTACAACCATAGCTGACTAGACATAAACAGATTATAGGAAGCATCAGGAAAGTGGAATATTTGTTGAAAAAATGTTTAGATCAGAGTGCATGTTTGAACCAATAAATTTTCACTCCATGAGTTCTTTACCTGTAGTGCACCTGTTGCAGGAAGGCTTTTAGCCAATTGCACAAACTGTCAGGCACGTCAATCTCTGTCTGGGTGGTTCAGTAATGTTCCCAGCAAACAGCAAACAGTTCAGGAGCGGGAGATCTAGAAATAAGTCACCCTCCATATTATATTTTTTGTTTTCTAACACATGCGGTGTTATCTAACCCAAATTACTAAAAATTGCACTAATATAAAGAAATGTTCCCGTGCCTGGAATGGAGTGTGCACTGTCTCCCTGGAGGGACATGACCATCTCACCTAATCCCAGATATTAGGAGAAGATTGGAAAGAGTTAAGGCTTGGAGACCCCAAAGTGTGTGTTGGAGATATTGATGAAGTTAATCAGCTAAAACTACACAGTATGCCCTTACGAACACTGAGAGGCAAGCTTCCTGCTGGGTATCCACTATGACCACCTTATCTGTAATGGTTTTAGCCTAATAGTTGAGACACTGAGACACAAGTCCAAAACTGCATCATGTTCAGGCCAAAGAAACAATGGCAAGCTTCTCCTGCTTGACTATGTGCCATGCTAAGCTAGCATTTTAGAAGCAGATACTCGCCAACTGCCTGTGGATTAGTTCCCTGAAAAACAGGGCTAACCACACTGCTTGAACCTCAAGCCTATTTATATATCTGGTGGCATGTGGTTTTATTGACACACCATTGGTCCAGGGCCACAAAAGTTTGGTGTCAGTCATCAGAGTAAAAATTACTGTGGAGCCTGCAACAGGAGCCATCCCAGTATATTGTACACAAACAGTTTAAAATGATGATTGGTTTCTGGTTGCTCTCAACTTCTAAGATCAGTGGAAGAAAAAGACCAGTTCCCTAAGCCTTTCCATTGTAACACCTACAATTTACATGGGTGCTTTCCAATTTAGAAAATGGCAAAACTTGACTTTGTATTAGCTACATATTGAAGCTCTCCAGTTACCTCCACACTAAATAAATCCAGATAAGCAAATTAAAACTGAACCATGGTTACAACTCCTTTCATTACCTGGGATCGCACCACCTGTTTTCAGAGGTCTTTTTGTCATGTGTTTGCTCAGCCGTGAAAGGACAATATTATGAATCACTTACTTTTTTTCCAAATATAATTTTTAAAATCACTTCTGAATACTATATACTTAGACATGTGTTAGTATTGCCAAGAGTACTATGAAGTACTGGCCAAAGTGCACAAGTTCAGATCTTAGATTTAGTTTGTGGCACACACCCCCTGCTATCTTTGATATGTGATAGTAAGGCACCGAAGATACTTAAAAACTGAGGTGTTAACCAAACAACTCAAGCTCGAAAGAATAAATCGCATAATCTTTGCAGGATATACTGCACCCCACCCAAAGGCGACAACTTCTCACCCAATTTTATGTCTTTACATTTCAGAAGATAAATGTGTTTATTAGTACAGTGAGAAACTGACTGCCACTGCATCAGAAATAAAATGTGCTAATCTTTGCATATCACAAATATAGTCTCCGCTGGATTTCAGTTGGCTGTTTTTGGAAGTTTGGACAACACAAATTTTGCTTTAGAAGTCAACAGCATCATGCAAGTTTCACTTTATCAAATTCACAAGGAAATTTTTATCATGTTACTGATACACTGTCTAATGTGGTTCCACATTTGTTTTGTAGTTTTCTCTCTCCTCCTCCTCCTCAAAAGTTCTCTAACCCTATACCGCAATGCTCCTTTCAATCTGTAATGCCATTTTCAGAAATGACTGCAGAAGCCTTAAGGTACATTGTGGCTGAATTTCATTCTTTTTTTTCAATGATTATGACCCCAGAACAGGATGCTTCTGGTGACAACTGACAAGAGAAGTCATTGCATGAGTCTGACTCCGATATTTGCTGCTAGTACAACTGGAATTAACTGGTATCAATCAACAAGACAACTGATCCAAAACTTAAACATATCCTCCAGTAATACTAGTTCACAAACGAGAGATAACTTTACATCAAAACTGTCGTATACAAGAAACAGAATTCCGACAGAGAGGAAGGAGAAGCGGTGTGTGAAACTTCAGTTAATATTTTGTGCAGACATTTTGGAGTGAGTTTGCAACCCTTAGAAAGAGTAGAGACGAGTGGGTAACACCAGATAATTTTTCCCCAATACAGTTACTGACTTAATCTTCTCAAACAGTTAAAGCAGCACACAATATGTCCGCCCAGTGTCTAATTCTGTTTTTGCCCACAATGATTTCCTTGCCAATTATCTTTCACTTCAGAAATTAACTTTTGATGACACCCACAGTGAGAGTTCAGAATGAGATACAGAGGACGGGGAGTTGTCAAGCCTTTTCCTTGACAGATTATGTAGATGTCCTTGTAGATGAAGAACATTCATTTATCATGACACAATGTTTGCATCGTCTTAGAAGCTATCTATCCAGTCCAGCAACTCATGAGATATATCTGAAGACGTTAGGCTCTCAATGAGGTTTGAGTGTTATTTCCTATTGAAGGATCTAAAAATATTGAGGGTTGCTCTCTGAACAACACATAGCTCATTGGCCTTTTGAGGGATTTATCATTAACCGCATTGCAAATCTCACAAATAATAATCCTTGCATTTGACATGACATCATCCATTCAGGGAGGTGTTTCACAAGATTTGCTGTTATGTGTAGTGTTTCTATGAAGCTAGGGATGGGGAACATTTTTGATTTTAGTTGGGTCAGTTTAAAAGTAGCATTTATTTACAGTAAAGTGATAGTCAAACTACTATATCTCATTCAAAAGAAAACTGACAGATTGTGTTACTTACTGAGAATGACAAAATACATTTGGTGCCATTTAACAAATTGATGACCTTGGAAACACTTGTTGGTGTTACTTATATTCACACACTGAACAAATACCTAATTCATGATCAAAGGAAGGACTGGTTTAGTGCTAATACAATTACATTTTCCTTTATAGTTTTTCTAAAGGTTGTCTCAATAAAAGAACATTGGGCAAGAATTCAATTTTTTTCAAAAGTTAAAAAGCTTTTAGCCATAAAATTACTACAGTATATTCACTTTTTTATTTGTATTTATTCAATGTCTTATCCATTTGACATACCCAAAGATAAGGAATCAGGTTTGGGAGACTCATTTCCATTTGATAAGGATTTGTTATGTACCACTCATACAAATGAGTTATTAGCACAGTAATGTGCAAACGATATTGAACCAGTGGCTCTGGACTCAGAAGTGTTCAATTAGAATCCCAGTTGGCAATAAAACTAGTTATGTTACACAATCACATTTCATTTGCCTTCAGATATCTTATTCCCAAACTAAATATTATCCCAAATTAGTGTCAACATTTTTGACTTCAATAGTCACAAATACATAAATTAGAACACAACACACAAACAGCAGAAAGGGATTGTATTTATTTAGAAAGTTAGGCTCCAACATGATTCAGTGATCTTGAAGATGTAATTTAAGACAAAGATGACCTTAAATGCAGCTTGCATTTCCAAACTGGTTAACGACATATAGTCAAAACAGGTTTCAAACCCTTCATTACAGTTTACAAGGCATCAATGTCAGATTAAAGAAATGCATCACAAATTTTGTAACTTTAATAAAGAAATATTTTTTGTTAATGTCCATTTTGTATTTGGATGAAATCTGTTGCAATAGAGGATCATGTGAATAGTCTTATTGAGGATCTGAATTGAAAACAGAGATGAATATCATTCAAATGCAATTTAAATCTCCAATTCATTATTTGACCAAATAAGCAACATGGCATTTATTGCTACTCATCATTATCATGAATACAAGTGGGCAATATTCATCTGAGGCTGGAAAGAAGTACATAATAATAATCCTTGCATTTGATATAGTGTCTTATCACATCATTGAGACATCTCAAGGCGTTTACAGAATATACTGTATTGTGAAGTGGATTGACTATATTTTGTAGGTGAAACGTGGGGGTAAGGGTGGGGGTGATGGGGGGGTTGGAAATGAAGGCACTATTCTGCATTGCAATAGATCCATGTGACACCTGGCTTCAGTTTGCTGTATTTTCCCTTCCAGTTGCCCATGCAATAGAACACTTGTAGTAAAACACATGTAATAACCAATAATGAACAATGATGATTCTTTTAACAGTAACTAAATGTAACATGTTTCATAATTATTGATCTGACTTTTTTTAAACGCTGTAAAATCTAGGCAATAAAAGATAATAATAATCCTTGCATTTGATATAGCGCTTTTCACGTCGGGAGGACGTCCCAAAGCACTTCACAGAAGACACTGTAAAGTGAATTGACTGCATATTTGTGGGCGAACGCGGCAGCCAATTGCGCACAGCAATGTCCCACAAACAGTCGTAGATTGAAAATGACCAATTTATTATTGTTTTTGGTTTTGGAGGGATTATTATTAGGTGTGTGGAGTAAGGAAACTTGCCCAAGGTTTCGCTCTCTGCCTGGAATTGAACTCGGGTCTCTTGCTTGCAAAGCGAGTGCTCTAACCACTGAGCTACAGGACTCCACGACTCAATTACAAGATGTAATTGTACTTTTGTTTTACAGACCCCCCACACCATTCTTCTCATGGTATTTGAAGATGTTCTTCAAATTTTCCAGGTCTTCAATCTGGGCATCAAATTCTTGCAGAAAAGTAGATATGAACATTTCTGAGGTCACACTCTGCAGAGTCTCCTGAAGAAGTGGAATCTTCACTGACAGTCTGTAACAGATATTCAGGTTGTAAGACAACATTTAATACAGGTTTGAACATGCAAGCATATTTATCCAACTTTAAGTACCTTCCTCTTAAAAGAATTTCCACAGAGATTTTTCTGAATGATTTTTTAATCAGCTTTCACCCAACTGCCAGTGGGCACATCAAATATGAATAGTAAAAACAACTCTCAGCTCCTGAAGATCAATAAAAGGTTGTTAAGTAATCAGAACAGTACACTTAGGTTATTTATGAAGCTGTGGTAAAAAAGAGGCAAAGTCAAATTTCACAAACTTTTATTCAGAAGTTCTTTTCCAACAGCAGAAACTACACATACATCGTTCTCATTTAAAAAAAAAGTTCTCAAGCTGGAAATAAAAAGTATCAAGTGCTTCTTCTAAGAAACCTCAAGTGCAGTTATTTTGACTTTAAACCTTATGAACATAATTTTTTGTCAAGATTTCTCATCCATTGGCTGGTGGGCTTCATAATAGAAGGGTCAATACCAGAGGATTGTCCTATACATTAGTTATTTGGAGTCTGGCAATATCAACTGGGAAGACTACACTATTCCTATGTAGCTCCTCTCTTGGACAGCGTTCAATTACTTGGCTGCATCTGCCATAATGCCATGAGGGGTTACAGTCAAGATTTTAAGGCTCTAACATGAAGGATACCTTATAGGTCCGGGTGTCAGAAATCATATCTTTTGACAAGAACACCAGAAATAAGACAGACTTGTTCTGTGAAAAGCTGACACAGATTTATTGACATTATTTTTGAAGAAATCAAGTCGTAATAATTAGAAGTTTAAAAGATGTCTATAAGTCTGTACCTTGCAGTCCACAGTATGGTCTCAGAAAGTTTCCTCTTTGATTAGAGGGAGAAGCAGAAATATAACTGATGTAGTTAAAAAGTACCTAATGATGTCTTACAGTGCAATGTGTTGATACAGGGTGTAGAAAAGGAAAGCCACATGATTCAGGAATGATTTGCTCAGTGATCCTGCACAGCCCATGGTGAGGTCTAACAAATGTATTAGAAAGTTCCTTGCCATAGGTATGGCATTCTATTAGTGATGAGAGGGCCTTGAGGCAAGGCCTCAAGCATTAACATTCAGCAGATAAGCTGTCTCAGAAAAGGGGAGAAGACATGGCCAGAGAGCATCTGAAAGACGGAGATAGGTTAACCCTTTGGCTGTGAAAGGATTCTCTCCCACAGCTACTTCATTGCTGATAAGAGGTTTTAATACCCACAAGATTGGTCACATTACTATTTCAGTAAATCTGCATTTACAGATTTTGTTTGTACAGAACACCCACTTACTTTCATATCCTTACACTTGGAGGCAAGTACAGCATGTAATTAACAGCAAATGGTGTGTCAGGTAGTTACCAGATGGCACTATTTATGAATTCTTATTTAGTTTGTTGGAAATATTTCAAGCTTTCCTTTCTTTCTTAAATTGGTAAGGCCTTAAAATGGCTTCATTGAGGGGGCTTTCATACACATCAAATATACAATTTGAAAGCTAGCATTATTTTGAAGTAAACAAGCATCATTCAAGTTTCAATTCCCTCATTCTTCACATTACTGAATCTTACATATACAACTCTACAAAAATCGTAGTTTATATTCACTATAATGCAGTGTACAGATTAAGATTTTCATATAACGAAAGCTCTTAACACCATACAACATTTAACATGCTTTAACTTGATATGATGAACTGCAGAAATTCCTGCTACAAACATCCTGGCTTGCAAGATGTCAAGTTAATTACCATGTACAGACAATCAGTGTTATTACACTGAAAAAGCCTGCAACATATGGGTAATGGAGGTTTTTAATGTACCACCATTTTAATTTACTGTAAACATTATTCAAATTGCTGAGGCTATATAAACAAACATATAAATGCACACCCTGTTATGTAAGGATTTCTGTAGGAAAGGTAACTGGAACAGAGGATTTAGAGGTACATGTGCTTACAATTCAAGGAAACAGATGAACTTGTTATTTGACAGTAAAGTCTAAATGAATAATTAATTTAATTAGAGCAAAAGGAACCAAACACTGAAAATAAAATGTTTCAGATTATAGAAAGTTTATTTTTCTTACACTAAAGATCAGGTCAGAATTCCTCAGGAGTAGATTACCAATAACAGACCCCAAAATGCCTTACTTCCATCATTTGCCTCCTCCAAATGAACAAAGCCACAGACTTTTCAAACAAAGAAGATTTTTGAAGAATAAATCATTCTTTTAAAAAAAGTTAGCGCATATTTTTAACTTTCATGCCTCTGATTTTCTCCCATGAATTAATAATTATACCTTGGATCGTCAATTATCACACAAATACTATTAGTCACCTGGCATTGACAGAGAAGGCCTCAATTCACATCTGTTGGCAAGCAGTGGAAAAGTGGAAAAGACTTTTGAATGAATTAATAAGCTTGGACAGACCTGTAACCATACTCTTAAAACAGCTTTTGGTGACTGATGTACTTTGGCAAAATGTAAAATTACTTTCTATTTTTGAACCCATCATTTTTCAGAACAAAATGCTCGCAGCTGAGGTATATAATTGCTTCAATGTTATACATTTACTAAAGACAGAATTCTTAATCATTTTAAGTGTGTGACCTGAACAATAAACAAAGGATTGAATGGCTGTAGGTGGCTGAGGTGCAAAACCTCAATCATCAGAAGATTTGAATACTAAGGTCATAGACAGAACCAATCTCAATGTGGTGCAAAAAAACAACAGGAACCGTGAAGCCATCCTTGCATGCATACTGAAGTCAAAGTTACTGTTCTGATAAAAACAAAACAACAACTGGGGAGGGAGGAAGGAAGAAAGGAAATAAAAGATATAACGTTCTATAAATACTTTTTACGTTTTTGGTTTGGTAAAACTAGAGCTTCACTTATTGCAGTAAAAAAGCAAACCCACACAAGCTGCAGACTTTGACTTTACTTGAACAATCATGTACTGGATAGTTTGTGCCCCAAACTCTAATTTACGATTTGTAAATTCAATCATCCCGCGCAGTGGTCCAACATGCTACAGTGGCCATTGCCAGCCTGATCAACCTCTTGATTGCACTCCCTTATCTACTCCTGCGCTTGTCTTGGGTGGACTGAGACTTTTATAGTGTGAGCATTAAAGCAATTATGGTTCCTTACAGCAAGATGCAGGAATTGTGAGGCCTATACCAGTCGAATACCGTTGTCCTCTCCTAAAAGCGGATGAACATCAAGCAATTTGGAAAGACCAATGCACCCATACTGTGTGTATAAGGCAGAATGGCCCGAGAAGATCGGAGTACAAATGCCACCCCTTGCCAATTTTCCATTTCCACAGTCCAATGTTAGTCAGTACAACTGTAGTCTCCTTTGCTGACCCAGCTGAGATCAGGTAAGTCTGTACAGGCTGAGATTTGAATTTGCAATCTTCCAGACTGTTCCGATTACAACAACAACAACAAAATTACATTTGTATAGCGCCTTTCACGTAGGGAGGACGTGAAGATTAATGTTTTACTCGGCGGTGTCTTTAACCATTAGGCTATTTGAGAGTTGTAATGTACATTTTGTTTAAAAAAATTCTCAACATTATTGTGCTTTAGATGTACAGCAGCGCTTAATATGAACTGTGCAGTTGGTTCTAATCAAACAGTATTACAAAAATACACATTTTGGGGTCTGGAAACGATCTTTGCCTCCCTCCCCCACCGCCTCTCAGAGAAACAAAATGAAATCAATTCTAATTTGCACATCCCAAGAAATGAATGTATTAGGTAGATACAGAATACAAAACTACTGTAGAGATAGTTTCCCCCAAATTGGTAATGAAGTGAACATGAATAGTTTTCTAGGAGCCTTAAAACAGAATTGTGGCATGCTACAATGCAGAGTTACTGCACTGTTCATCTGGTATTATTTATACTTGATGTGCAAGATGAAAAATGACCTTTTCTCTTAACACATAAAATGTGTGTGTGGGGGGCTGTAGTTAATTTTTCTGTCACGTGGAAAATGATTGAGTTACAAGGAAAAACTGAGTGAATAAAACAAATCTGGAATGAAACTAACACTCAAAAAAAACTATGGGAATCATAGTATCGACTGTACAAGAAATCATAGAATACAGTCCTAAATACTGTATGGATCGACTTCAATTGTTCAATTCTGTACCATCACTGGATGTTTCCAAGTCTACTTGCATAACTTTGTGTCTCAATGATTGTTCACAACTTTTACTTCAGATGCTTTGTCGCATTCTTGTTAAGTTATTGTTGGACGTAGGTATATCAGCCTTTACGAAAACACTTGACCATAGGAACATCAGTAAAACACGGCAGCCAATTGCTATCATTATCTATCATGTTTTCTTTACTCTCTCTTTAGGTAATTGGAACGATTTACATAATAATAAAAAAAATCCTTGCTCTTGATTTAGCACTTTTCACATCTTCTACAGGTCTTAAAGCGCTTCGCAGAATGTACTGTAAAGTGAATTGACAGTATATATGTGGGCGAAACGCAGCATCCAATTGCGCACAGTACTGTCCCACAAACAGTTGTGGATTGAGTGACCAAATTATTATTATTTTTGAGGGATTATTATGTAATAATACTCAGTGGGCTCCGGCCTGCTTCACATCCCCTGCCTTGCTCGCCCCACTATTGGCAGGTGACCCTTCTGCCACTCTACCCCCACCCTCTGGAACTCCATCCTGCAGTCCATCCGCCTCACCCCGCCCCCCCTCCCTTGCCACCTTCAAGAACCATCTCAAGACCCTCTTCTTCGACCGTGCTTTCGATCTCCCTGCTTCTCTCCCCACCTTATGTAATCTTAATTAAATTAATCAAACAAATGTAATCCTGTTGTTGTTGCCCTACACCCTCCCCGACCCCCAGCTCGGGTCCAAAACTGTCTGTCCAGTGCCTAGGGTCATTCTCCCAACGTGAAAGGCGCTATGCAAATTTAATTATGTTGT